GCGGTGTAGTTTCATTGATCCAAAGTCGAGCCGATTTATTTCAAATGCATATTCCAGAAGTCCAGCAGTCCAATTCAGTCCGACCATAAACCGTGCGTCTTTTCATAACAATCCACAATCAGCGGAAGAGTACTATCCACAAAGAAAAGATTGTACCCTAAAATGAAATTTATGCATCCTAGCGAATGCTGATCGATTTTTATTTTGATATGTAAAAGTACCCAAGCGTCTAGCAATCTGCATGTAACCATGTCGTAATGATGACTTACGCAGGTCGCATGCGATAGTGTAGGGAAAAGTTGTGTCGTCTAAATCGGCCTTAACAAGATATATATTTTGCTAACGATTTGATGGATCTTTTACTACCCATATGAACTTACCTCAACACATAAAGCGTCCAGGGAGTATTATCAAGACCGACTTTACCCTTTAAATATTTCTTTARCCAGCTTTTATTTTGGCTGCAACCCAGACAGAACTGTTCTTTGTGTCACTCTTACGTGGTAACTTAAGATCCTTAAGATCTTATGGTTGTCAAGCAAAGCAACAATTAATCAAATACACATTCTGGCACATGCCTGACTACTTAAGATAGCACTAAGCCGTAATGACATTTTACATCCAAACGTTGATGACGGGTCTAATAAATTCCTAGCCAAGTATTTCCCGTATTGCGAGTATAATTGGCAGTGCTAAATTATGCTCAGATGAAGTGGAGTGGYTGAGATAAATTTTTGATTTGAATTTTTTTAGTGTACAAATACTTGAAATGGTGGTCTTGAATGACCTCTACCTTGACATGTTTTTTTKCATGTAATCACAGAAAATATGACCAATCAAAAGTAGTATAAGAGTAAGTCATATCCCTTACAGTTTTACACCATGATATAAACTCCTTTATTGGCGTGTTTTCGTGTATTTGTGATACATGGGGCACATTGAGACCCTCTAATAAAGTTACAAAAGGTTTTTCCTTAATTAGATAMTATTTTGGGGATTTTTCTTGTACATTTTAAAACTCCCGCTCATTTAGTGCATCAAAGATCTTAATTGAGCGGGACCTGATCGTCACGCTAAGAGTGACAAGRAACCAAAGATGCCCGAAATAGAACGTTATAATATGAATCGACATCTTCTTTTTATAGATTGCAAATAAAGTTATAAAAGGTCTTTCTGTACTTAGATACTGTTTTGGGGATTTTTTGTGTGTACATTTTAAAGCTCCCGCTCATTTAGTACATCAAAGACCTTAATTGAGCGGGAGCCGATCGTCACGCTAAGAAGCTAGAAAATGTTTTTCAACCAAATTCAAGAGTCTTCTTGACATATAAACTGAAATAAACTGCCTGAGTGTTAACGGAGGGTGGCTGTGATAAGAAATGATAGGGGTGTATTGAGGACACCGAGATTTCCCTTGCTGAGATCAGGGGGAGAGCATCCAGCAGGAGTCTCAAACTTAAACTTCTGCAGCAAAGTGGCTGATAT